GCAGAGCACCCGAGCTGCTCTGCCCCGGGCTTCCCAGAGTCAGCCACTGGTCACTTTCAGCAGCAGCTGACTCGGGGAAGTCTGGGGCAGAGCAGCTGGGGTGCTGCCGGGTTAGTCCCGTAGCGCTGAGGGGTGCATCCCCTCCACTCCACCCTAGACTCCTCATAGCCCCCCCCTTCCAATAGTCCAGCATATTTGATATTCCGGCACCCCCTGGGTCCTAAAGGTGCCATATTATCGGAAGTTTACTGTAATAAGGCTTTTCTCTGACTCAGCCAATCAGGATAAGGATATTGAGGAATTAGAAGTGAGGGAAGTATTCAGATGAGGGTGATAAGAATGAAATTGGACACAGCAAATTGCTCATAAAGCAAGACAGATAAGAAGGGGAAGTGATGAAAACATAACAAATAATAGCTGGGTTTGAGGAGATACATTCTGTTCTCCCAGGCTCATAACACAAGGGGACAGTCAATGAAATTAAAAATGTGGCCAACTCATCAAAGGAAATACTTTTTCAAATCATTTGTAATTCGACTGTAAAACATACTGCTACACGATATCATTGAGGCCAAAATCACAGTAGCATTAACACACACACAAAAAAGAGTGTTGGCCATTTATATTGTTAACAAGAATATCCAGATGTTTAATCACTAGTGCTAACACAAACTTTAGGAAAGTTTTGAAGCTAATTCTCCTGCTTTAGGGTTTAAGCCAATCTCTAATTAGTAGAGATCAATGTCAGACGTAGGAGGGTGGGAGGACACAATCTCACCCTACAACTGCTTGCTTCAGAGTTCTCCTACCTTCTGCTGAAGCATGGGGTATAGGCTGCTATCAGAAACAGGATCTTGGACTAGATGGATCCGGGCAATTCCCATGTTCCTTTCCAATGTACGCTAGCAGCAGTAGCCCTTTGAGGCCAAGTGGACAGATCTCTCAGCTGTTCTCCAGGGTCACTCCTTTCACTCTTTTTTTTTTTTTAAAGTCAGCTGCTATGGCTGTGAAGGAAAACCTCCAAATGTGATCAAGTGGCAGGTAACTCAAGCTGCGTCCTAAATGTTGATCTCTAAATGTTGGATATAGGCACCTAAGTCTTTTTGTAGATATAATCCCCAGGTTATAGGAGTTACTTACATTACTTGGTGGTTCCAATAATGATCAAAGAATACCTCATTCTTCTCACCATGATGCTTGTGTTTTCAATGGAATTGCTATAGATTTACTCCAGTTTAGGGCCTAGTTACTGTATGTAGAGGCTGTATAGTTTTGTAGAGACAAGCTCCCAATGAGCACCACATACCTGCTAAACGAGAGACTGTAAAACCAAGTATCATCAAAAGCCAACACCTCTGTTTGAGATTAATCTACATTTTTTTTTAAGTTTCTTCTGTTTTTACCTAGAGATGAGTTTCAGCCACAACAGCTGGCTATCTGAATTTTGACTCCCAGACAAGTTTGGGAGCATTCAGATTCAGTGTTCTGACTTGTGATCATCTCTCTGCAGCTAGCCCTAATCCTGAGGCAGGGTATCACAGTGCACATTCTACATTAATTCTGATAATTGGCAGGAGTTTGCCTCTCCTGAATCTATGTAAAACTCCCCACACTAAAGCAGCCAGTGGCAAAGAGCCTTAGTCACGAATTGTTTTTTTCTGACTATTCTTATAAAAACCTTGCAGCACGTTCATGGGCAGTGGGAAGACAATGGTGGAATTCTTCTCAGTAGCCAGCGTGGTTAAGGTCTGCAGGTAGCGCAGCTGGAGGGCTGCTGGAGTCTCAGCTAGCACCGTTGAGGCCTGCTTCAATGCTTTGGAAGCATTCATTTCTCCTTCTGCTGCTATGACCTAAAATGCGATAGAAACGGATATGTTGGTGGCAGTAAGGAATAGCCACCCTCCAGCAGCAGCAAAAATCCTACAATGGTGGTTTGTCCTTCAAAAGATACACAGGCCATAGAAGCACCACGTTATATCAATGTGAGAAATATTTCTGTGGGTCTCACCTTAGCTCTGGCTTCTCGTGTTGCTTCGGCTTCAGCAGCCATAGCTCTTTGCATCTCCATAGGGATCCTGACATCTTTGATTTCCACACGTGCTACTTTGATTCCCCATCTATCGGTGGCATTGTCAAGGATAGACTTGGGGAGGGTTTTTTTAAAAAAACAAATAATATGAAAATCAATAGTGTGTGACACAAATGACAAAGCACACTAACCACAATGTCTCAGACCTTCAATATGCTCAGAATTCCAAAACAATTGCAAAAAAATGGAAAAAAGAATAAATGGGAGGAAATTGGGATCTGCAGCGGGGCTCTTTAGGAGTGTGTGAAATGGCTAAATAATGCAGATAAATTATTAGTTGTGAACTAGTCTCAGATCTGTGAGGGGCTGGAGAGGTGATGATGTGCATGGGCAAAATGTGCTTGTTTTCTAGTATTGGTTCTGCCAGGTCAGCACAGCTTTGGAAGGGCTGGTCAGAATTAAAGCTGTACATGCCCAAACCTACAGACACTGCTGTGAGTAAATTCCTCACGTGAAGAATTGTTTGAAGGACCCGGTGCAACAATGACAGCTGTTTGAAAAGGGCCATGAGCATCAGGGAACATAAAGAGGTAAGTAGCCTATGTAAAAGAATAGCACTCAACCTTCTTTGCAGATAAGCCACTCAGTCATCCATTGGAGCCACAGAGAACCTTAGTGCAAGTGACACATTGAAACCGCACTGTATTATGTGCCAGCCATACCTAAAAGCTGTATGATACATCACAATGCCTAGCACAGTGGGATCTTGGTCCCTGACTAGGGCTCCTAGGCACTACCACAATCAAGAAAATTGACTCTTCCTCCTTACACATCCTCATGACATATCACCTCTCTCATGTGCACATTTTCTTCTGGCTGCTGGCAGAGGGGTGGGAGTGAGCTGTATTTCATTCTCTCTTCTACTCTCTCTTGACTGCCACAGTGACAGTCCTTGAAAAGAGGGGGAGGGGATTTAAACACTTTCCAATTCTGTCCAGTTCAGTTCAATTCAATACATTTTACTGGCATGACATAAGACAGGGCTACTCAACACGCAGCCTGTGGCCCATGGTTCAGATTGGGTTTACGCAGGGCTCAACACACGGCCCACTGGTGGGAGCCAAAACAAAAAAGTAGTCAATATACTGGTCTTCTGTTGATATATGTTTTAGTAGTTAAATTCCTGGACTGTCATTGCTCATTAAAACTGCTGCCATATGGGTGTAAATCGGGCAAATATTGCATTTTATTAATATCAGCAGAACTGACTTAAATGGGGCCAGTGTGTTGTGTAGTCTTGCCTTAATCTTTATATTCATACCTGTCAGTGTGAAAGAAGCTATTTGCATATATATTTGCGTGTATATGCAACCACTATTAAGTTGCAGCCCACAGCATGTGCTGTGAGTATCATTGTGGCCCCCGGGGCTTCTAAAGTTGAGTAGCCCTGACGTAAGAGATCGGTGGTCCCAAACTTTAATCAAGCATTTGCTCATATTTACAAAAGGTGTCATGCCAGACCAACCTGATCTCCTTCTTTGAGAAAGTGGCCACATTCTTTAGAAAAAGGAAATATAGCAGCTCTAATCTACCTGCATTTCTGTCAGGCATTTGATACAGTTTCACATGGGAATATTTTAGTGACATTGGAGAAGAGGGGAATTAATATGAGCACTGAAAGATGGATAAGGAGCTGGTTAAAGGGGAGAGTACAATGGGATATACTGAAAGGTGAACTCTCAGGCTGAAGGGAGGTCAAGTGCCTCTGGATTGGCCAGAGGATCAACATTATTTAATATTTTTATTACTGACCTTGGTACAAAATATAGGAGTGTGAGAATAAAACTTGTGGCTGACTCAAAGTTGGGAGGTATTGCCGATACAAATGAAGACTAGACTATCAAACAAAAAGATGGGAACAGCTTTGCAAATTGGATGAATAGAAATGGGATGAAATTTAATAATTCAAGTGCAAGGCCATGCATTTAGGTACAAAAATATTTGCTATAATATTTGAAATAATCTCCTAGTGTAGATATGGCCTAAGGGTCTAAGATAGAGCATCTGGTGACTATGGATTTCTCCACCATAGTATGGTATTGATAATTTCTAAAGAAGTGGCAGGGAGCCTCATCTCAAGATGTTTTTACGGTCTCATTCATATTTCAAAAAGTTAAGTCCAGAGAGTCCTGTTTACTTAAAAAAAAAGATTAATAGTTTTATCAGATATTCTGAGAATGTATTTTTACAATATTTCTTCCCTATTTTTCAGTAGGCAGTGTATGTAAAAGTTAAAATAAAATACAATAATTGTTAAAAGGCCCCCAATTTTTAAGATGATATTCCATATAATGAGACTCTGTACTCATCAATGGAACATTAGATGTGGATTTACCTGGATATTGTGAGCAATCTCTTCTCGACCAGACAAGATCTGGGACAGGCTTTGGGTGCCTAGAACATTTCTCAAAGTGGTCTGTGCCAGCAGGTTAGTAGCTAGATGGACATTTGTGACATTAGCCACTGCACAGACAGCACTATGGATTTTGTAGTAGACCACTCCATCAACTTGGGTAGTTACCGAATCTTTTGTAAGAATCTATGAAAAACAAACATACAGAGATGGGATAATTATCAAGGAATCACAAATCCCAATGTTATGGAGTCTTCTGTTTCCTGTAGTGAAACAAGAAGCCACTATATTCAAATAAATTAAGAGAAATTGTCCTCAGGGTCATCATCAGGATTTACTACTAAAGCAGCTCTTGGTGCAAAGTATTCAAGTGACTCTCTCTGTTAACAAGTTATCGTTATTCTGAGTGCATTTGTCTTGGAATAATCATTGGTGGTTATCCTGTTTCAGTGTTGTGGATTAGGACCTTGTTTCTTGTCCATGCAGTGCTAACTTAATTTGAGGTACAGCTCTGGCATCTCTAAAAAGTAAAGGATGTGCTTGCTCTCAGTATATAAACATCAATGAAAAATATGGATATTCATGGAATTTAAAATCATAGGAACAAGAAGGTGTGGGGGACAACAGTTAGGTAACACGTTCTTAACTGGTCTGTACGTAAGCACTCCAGGCCACATTCACCAACAGTGAAGGGAGCTATAAATCTCCTATACCCCAATGAACAATTCATCTTGTTGTAGCATAAGTGGTATTTCCACTGCTGTCGTACCCTCAGAATAGGTGTGGGGCATCTTTAGTTTGTAGGCAAGGGCTCCATGGAAACCCTGCCCAAAGATATTGCAGGGAGGTTGTACCAAGTAAGTATATTCCCAGGCTATTATGGTCAACATCCTTCCTGTACCAACCTACCCAGGTTCTGAATTGGCTCTCTTCATCCCTTTTGTACAACATCTCCCCCTTCCCCTTTCTGCTATATCATCTTCCCTCCATGCCAGCTGGCTTTCCATCGCTGAAGTCCTTGCCTCTCACAGCTATGCTGGGGGTTGGAAGAAACCTCTCTGAAGCTGGTGGGCATAATAGTCCCCCTTCATACAAGCTAAAACTACAAAGCAGTTTCCTGTGTGGAATAGAGAGCTGGATCAATAGGACCCACTTCCCAAAAACACAGGCCATATGCTCATGGAGTAGGAGTTGAGCAATGCACACCTCCCCCAAATGTAACAAGTTACAGCGCTGTAAAGTGCCAGTGTAAACGGACTACCAGTGCTGTTAGCTACTCCCCTCATGGAGGTGGTTTTCCTTGAGCACTGGGAGAGCTCTCTCCCAGCACTTGTGTAATGGTCACACTTTCAGTTTACAGCAGGGCCACAGCAGCGCTTTAATTTTAGAAGTGTAAACAAAGCCCAAGTCTATAGTGCTACCAAAGACAGAGGCCTTGTCTATACTTACCTGGAATGGAACATTGGGTTGAATTAAGGTTGAAGATAAGCAACTCCAGTTACATTATTGCATAGCTGGAGTCAACATGGCTTAATTCAACCTTCAGCACCATCTCCACAGGAGGAGGTCAATGGGAGAAACATGTATTGGTGTCAATGGGGGCGTGCTCAGCATTCAATTTAGTGGGTCTTTCTGGACCCGCTAAATCAAACTCCGAAAGATCGACCACCGCAGTGTCAGTCTTCATAGTAATGAAGACGTGGCTAACATCTGAAACTATTGTAGATTAAATTTCCAGTGTAAAGGATTATTGAGCTGTTGTTACCTCTTGTGGAGGAATGTTACAAGTAACGGTTCTAAGATCAACCCTGGCAAAAACATCTGTGCACGGAAGAACCATGATCAAACCTGGAAAAAAGAAGAAAAGTCCAAAGCTGAAACATATTTAGCTATAGGCTAAACTCTGATTGCATATCAAGCAAACCTCTGAAAACTACTATTCCTGTTGTGCAATCAGAATAGTCCTCAGAGAAACAAACACAGATGTCACAATATAAATGTGAATTCAGTATGGTTCACTATGGAGAATTGGATTGGGAGTTGGGAGAACTCAACTCTGAGATCTGCCATAGGACCTAGGGCAAGTTACTTCCTTTTTCTGTGCCTCTGTTTCCCCTGAAGCTTTTTGTTTATTTAAAGCATTAGCTCTTCAGGATGGTAGTTCAGGGGAAACTACATCACTTAGTATGATCCCTCCCCCAATCCCTGAGCCTGCCCACTTTTTAGGCTACATGGCTGTTTTTGAAAGGACAAGAGATAGTTATATGATAAGGGATTCATCCTCCATTCCTATTCCACTGTCTCACTGTACCTTTTCCAATGCACTGTGCAAAAGTAATTATTATAACAATGTAGAGAGCATTCTTGATCAATTCCTATGACACCAGCACATGAAGACCCCAACTATGATGCCAGGTGCTGTGTTAGGTGCTGTACACACATTTTGTAAGAGATTGTCTCCGCCCCAAAGAGGTTACAACTTTAAATGGACAAGACAGATAAAGTGTGAGAAAGGAGGTATTGTTATACCCATTTTACAGATAGCAAACTGAGGTCCAGGGAGATTAAATGACTTGCCCAAGGTCACACAGAATTAGAATTCAGATCTAAGTCTCTCTCCAGTGTGCTAAACTCAAAATCACCTTTCCCCTGCATGTGAACTTTAAGATAAAGCCAGGATTAGATCTCAGGATCTGCTGGCTTCCTTTCCAAATAGCAATATGGAAAAAAACAAATGGGCAGACAAATGGACAAAGAATCACTTTCTACTTTTTACTGTGCCTTGGACAAGTTCCTTGCATTATCCATTCTCTGAACAAGGATTACATGAAATATTTGTTGGTTACAATGGAAACAGAAGAAAACTCCATTTACTCACCCGGGCCCTTTGCTTTTTTAGACACTATCCGTCCCAGCCGAAATATGACAGCACGCTCATATTCTCTGATAACCTACGAAAATATATTTAAAATAGAATGTAACACTAATGTTGCCCACACTCCTGCTGGGTGTGATTCACTGTCCCATGTAGTGGCAGTTATACCACTTGCCAAGAGAAAAAATTAGTTTGTTCTACAGCCAGAGCTGAGCTCCAGATAGCTTTAACTCAAGTGATTGAGATGCATGCACAAAACTCCAGAGGTTCCAGGTTTGGTTCTGCCTACTGGTGTTATGCTAAAATCACCCCCTCCCTGACTTTATGTCCTTCAAACCACATTGAATTATCAAAATTAATGCATTTTTTGTCGTGTTCTCCCCTCTTCCTGTCCCTTGCTGTGGAATGTCAGGCCTCAATCCTGACATACTTATGCATGTGATTATCTTTATGTATTTGAGTAGCTCCATTGATTTAATTGGGACTACTCACATCTCGTACTTCAAGTTCCTTGTGTGCATGAGGGCTTGCAGTCTTGGTCTTAGATTGTAAAATCATCAAGATCTCTGCCAGTCCAACCAAGGAAAATCTTTAAGACCCCAAATATGGAAATCTGTTATACCCTGAGCAAGATACACCAGCAACACCTTGAGGGAAAGAATTCTCTGTAGTAATTCAGACTATATCTAGACTACATAGAATTTTTGAAAGTGAAAGTAGTCTGGATGCATTTTTTTCAGAAAAAAAAACCTTTTTGAAAAAATCGCTCTTCCTTAAAAAAGGAGGTTTATGCGTTTTTTTCAAAAAAGGGTTTCTTTCCCGAAAAAAAATGCGTCCAGACTGCTTTCACTTTTGAAAGATCCTCTTTTGAAAGTGAGATCAGAAGAACTGGAATTTGCATACCCTTTAGAAAAAAAATCGTAGTTTAGACGTGCCCTCAGAATCTTCTCCATTTAGTGCCCAATCTCTGGCCACTGGGGATATTTGCTACAAGCTGTCACAGGTGGGCCACATGCCATCTTATCATACCATCCTTTGCAGGACTGTCAGTGTCAGTGTTGTCTGGTTAGAGTCATCCTGGCGCGCTCCTGACAGGACCTCTACTCCATCGGTGATGATAAACTTTCGGCTGCATGCGTAACAATCGGTACTTCCTTTATCTAGAGTGTTAGACCCCGTGCACTTGTGTCAACACAGGAGATCTCTGAGAGGCCCCGGAAATGACAGATGCAGGCAAGGTTTGAAATCAATCGAGCAGGTTTATTGTCAAATGCGAAGCTCTACCAGTCGGTAACAGAGATCGGTACAATGTTACACCACTGGACACTATGGCCCGTGTTGAAAAGGTACCAACACCGGGCCCGCGTTGACAAGGTACCAACACCGGGCAGGCCTATTGCCATAGAACAGATATTAACAGCAGTCAGTCAGAGTTAAGCTACTGTGCGTTCTGTAAGTTCAGGCAATGACACCTGCCGTTCAGGCGCCTAGTGCACCCCCCCCCCAAGGTCGGCCGGAGAGCACCTTTTGCAGGGTCCTTTTATAGACAGGTACAAACAACTTACGTCATTTCTTCACATACCAGGTTACCACCCCCTGTTGCCTAGTTACCACCCCTCACCGTACGGAAGGGGGGCCTACTTACTATCCTTCATGCTGTCAATCTCAACCCGGTCCTGAACCTAGATCGGTATGTGCATTAGTTTTTAGGGAGTCTTTGTACCAAGACATTCCTTAAGATGTTCCATTACTCCCCTTTGGCTTACAGTCTGTACCCAGTGCCTCTCTGTGTCCTTCCATGCTTCACCTAACGTACACAATTACACAGTTGTCAGTAGGGCCTCTTTCTTGGCTCCTGTTACTGAACCAAAGTCTTGCTCACTAGATTTCAGGCCTATTGCTGTTTTCATATTACAGGCCTCTATTTAGGCCTGCTGACTCCATGTTACTGACCCTCAACTTAATACAGGCTGTAGACCTGAATTTATATTTGTCTGTACAAACACTGATGTTTTTTTCCTCAGTCTCTCTTTACAGCACCTCAGAAACATCTATTAATTTATTCTCACAGCATCCCTGTGAAGTAGTATCACAGTCTGAGCGTTGTAGGCACAGAGAATATAGATAAACTTAGCCAAGGTTATACAGGAAACCTGAGGAGGAACACGGACCAGAACACAGAACCCTTGCATCCCAATCTTGCACCTTAACTACAAAAACAATACTTTTCCCCATAACATGGGGTACAAAGGGCTTTTTGCCCTGGTGAAATACATAATACTAAGAGACCATTCGCTCAGTGTTCCAGTTCCCATCAGCTTACCTTTAAGCACATCCAGATGGAGAAAGGAAAGGTTATAAGCACCAACAAGAATGAAAGTGAAACCAGGATCCAGCCGAAGGCCCCGATTCCAGCCTTCTTATCTGCTAAAGTAAAACAAAAAGACAGGAACCATTGCCACTTGCCTGGTCAATCTGCTGAGTTTATAATAAAAGATCTGGAACAAAAAAAAGAAGCTTCATAGACGCATAGACTTTAAGGTCAGAAGGGACCATTATGATCATCTAGTCTGACCCCCTGCACAGTGCAGGCCACAGAATCTCACCTCCCCCCCCCCAGAATAATCCTCTCACCTATATCTCAGGGTATGTCTACACTACCCTCCTAGTTCGAACTAGGAGGGTAATATAGGCATACCGCACTTGCAAATGAAGCCCGGGATTTGAATTTCCCGGGCTTCATTTGCATAAGCCGGGCGCCGCCATTTTTAAATCCCGGCTTGTTCGAACCCTGTGCCGTGCAGCTACACGCGGCACGGACTAGGTAGTTCGGACTAGGAAGCCTAGTCCGAACTACCTAGTACCACTGCTAGAATAATCCTCTCACCTATATCTCAGATATTGAAGCCTTCAAATACTTTGAAGACCCCAAGATGCAGAGAATCCTCTAGCTGTGATCTGTACCCCATGCTACAGAGGAAGGCGAAAAACCTCCAGGGCCTCTGCCAATCTACCCTGGAGGAAAATTCCTTCCCGACCCCAAATATGGCGATCAGCTAAACCCTGAGCATGTGGGCAAGACTCATCAGCCATACACCCAGAAAGTTCTCTATAGTAACTCCTATCATCCCTCCATTGACCTATTTCCCACTGATAATGAATGGTCAATTAGATACCAAGATCCTGTTATCTCATCAAACCATCCCCTTCATAAACCCATCTAGTTTAATCTTGAAACCAGATAGATCTTTTGCCCCCACTACTTCCCTTGGAAGGCCGTTCCAGAACCTCACTCCTCTAATGGTTAGAAACCTTCGTCTAATCTCAAGTCTAAACTTCCTACTAGCCAGCTTATATCCATTTGTTCTTGTGTCCACATTGGTATTAAGCTTAAATAATTCCTCTCCCTCCCTGGTATTTATCCCTCTAATATATTTAAAAAGTGCAATCATGTCCCCCCTCAGCCTTCTTTTGGTTAAAGTAAACAAGCCAAGCTCCTTGAGTCTCCTTTCATAAGACAGGTTTTCCATTCCTCGGATCATCCTATTGGCCCTTCTTTGTACCTGTTCCAGTTTGAATTCATCCTTCTTAAACATGTCCACATTGGTATTAAGCTTAAATAATTCCTCTCCCTCCCTGGTATTTATCCCTCTAATATATTTAAAAAGTGCAATCATGTCCCCCCTTACTTTCTTTTGGTTAAAGTAAACAAGCCAAGCTCCTTGAGTCTCCTTTCATAAGACAGGTTTTCCATTCCTCGGATCATCCTAGTGGTCCTTCTTTGTACCTGTTCCAGTTTGAATTCATCCTTCTTAAACATGGGAGACCAGAACTGCACACAGTATTCCAAATGGGGTCTCACCAATGCCTTGTATAATGGCACTAACACCTCCTTATCCCGACTGGAAATACCTCGCCTAATATATCCCAAGATCGTATTAGCCTTTTTGACGGCCATGTCACAATGGCGGCTCATAGTCATCCTATGATCAACCAGGGCTCCGAGGTCCTTCTCCTCCTCCGTTACTTCCAATTGATGTGTCCCCAGCTTATAACTAAAATTCTTGTTATTAATCCCTAAATGCATAACCTTACACTTCTCACTATTAAATTTCATCCTATTGCTATCACTCCAATTTACAAGGTCATCCAGGTCTTCCAGTATGATATTCCGATCCTTTTCTGAATTGGCAATACCTCCCAACTTTGTCATCTGCAGATTTTATCAGGAGACTTTCACTTTTGGTGCCAAGGTCAGCAATAAAAAGATTAAATAAAATTGGCCCCAAAACTGATCCCTGAGGAACTCCACTAGTAACCTTCCTCCAACCCGACAGTTCACCTTTCCGTATGACCCGCTGTAGTCTCCCCTTTAACCAGTTGCTTATCCACCTCTCAACTTTCATATTAATCCCTATCTTTTCCAATTTAACCAATAATTCCCCATGTGGTACTGTATCAAATGCCTTACTAAAGTCGAGGTAGATTAGATCCACTGCATTTCCTTTATCTAAAAAATCTGTTACTTTCTCAAAAAAGGAGATCAGGTTGGTTTGGCACGATCTACCTTTTGTAAAACCATGTTGTAATTTGTCCCAATTGCCATTAGCCTCAATGTCTCTACTTTCTCCTTCAAAAATTTTTCCAAGATCTTGCATACTACAGATGTCAAACTAACAGGCCTATAGTTACCCGGGTCGCTTTTTTTCCCTTTCTTAAAAATAGGAACTATATTAGCAATTCTCCAGTCAAATGGTACAACCCCTGAGTTTAGAGATTTATTAAAAAATTTTGCTAACAGACTTGCAATTTCATGTGCCAGTTCCTTTAATATTCTTGGATGAAGATTATTTGGGCCCCCCAATTTACTCCCATTAAGCTGTTCAAGTTTCAGAAGGGTAGCTGAGTTAGTCTGTAACAGGAAAAACTTAAAAAACAACAAATAGTCTGGTAGCACCTTAGTCTAGTCTTTTTTTCCAATTGCTTTTCCGGAAGAGGCTTTTCCAACATGTAGATGAGGCCAAATGGTGGAAAAAGCCTCTTGTTTTGGAGGAGCCCTTATTCCCCATAGAACGAGCTATACAGGGTTCCCCAAGGCTATGTCTAGACTACATCCCTCTTTCGAAAGAGGGATGTAAATTAGACATATCAAAATTGCAAATGAAGCCAGGATTTGAATTTCCCACGCTTCATTTGCATAATCGTGTCATGGCGTTTTTAAAAAAAACGCTATTTTGAAAGTGAAGCCGCGGTCTGGACGCTGTTCTTTCAAAATGAAAAGCCTTTTTTGAAAGATCCTGTACTCCTCAAAAAACGAGATTTACAGGATCTTTAAAAAAAGGCTTTTCTTTTTGAAAGAACTGTGTCTAGACCGCGGTTTCACTTTTGAAATAGCGTTTTTCAAAAAAAGCCGTGACACGATTATGCAAATGAAGCATGGGAAATTCAAATCCTGGCTTAATTTGCAATTTTGATATGTCTAATTTACACCCCTCTTTTGAAAGAGGGATATAGTTTAGACATATCCCAAAAGAGCATGTCTGCTCTTCCACGAAAAAAAGCAGAAGAACAAACGCATTCTCTAAATGCAGCAGAGTTTTTCCGGGATACCTCTGGCATCCCGAAAAACCCTCGCAATGTAGCCATAGCCTGGGAGAGCGGAGATAAGCAGGGGAGGGGATACTAAGGAGCAGAGCTACAAAGAGGAAAAGCCAGAGTGCTCCCCACCACCACCCCGGAAGGGTGACAAATCCAACACAGTCACATACAAAAGGGGCATTTGGGGCATAAGCAGTAGGAACCAGGGTAAGAGAAGTGGAGGGAGCCACTGAAGGGGAAGAACAGCTGCAGGAACCAATTTTTCAGTGAGGAGTGTGGCCATTATACATTTTTGTGGGCATTCAAGTGAGCAACAAAAGCTGAATGCTACTGCGTCATCTGCCCAAGTGTGTCATTCCTCACCACTGCTTGGAGAGGAAGAGCGAGAAGGTTTCATCACCCTAACACAGGATACACAGGAGGCCTGCTCCGAGGCAGAGTGTAGAGGCTTTTCCAAACAAACTGCTTCAGCCCTGCTCCCACCCTGGGCTTAGCACAATCTGTGGTTGGAGCCTGCTCTTCATACCTAAACCCCTGTACTCCTACACCAGAATTAAGGTCTTTCCTGCTCACATGCTCTGCTTGGGATCCAAACTTTGCCTCATAGGAAAGGCTTCTCCTTGTATAACTTATACAAACTGGCTGCCGGCCCTGTTCCCGGGGACTATAGAATAGTCGACTAACCAATAAGCATTCATGAGCTTACTCAACTGTTTGATTAACCGATATTTAACATCCCTAGCAGAGGTTCATACACTAAACTATAGAGGTCCCAGGTTTGATTCAACTGGGGGTCTATTGATAAAACCCCATTTTAAACTTTGAGCTGCCTAAGTTCCATTTAAAATTAGGTGTTATCTGTTATCTCATTTAAACGTGTGAATATGGGGACATATGAATGTGTGGCAATGGGATCCGTCCCAGACTCTAGTCTGTCTCAGTAGCCAGCTGCCAGCATCATCTTAATGGCCAAAGAACAATGGGAGAGAGCCCTGCAAAAGAACCCACCCAAGAAAGAGACAAAAATCCCATCAAGAAAAGTCACATCTGCTGTTAACTGGTGCCTCATTGTCATACAGTGCCCTGTGGCATGGGACAGGACAGGCTCTGTGGACTAAACCATATAAAAAGCTTGGTGCAAAACTAGAAGCTCCGGTGCACACCGACACAACCCAGCTCCCCTCCTTGTATCTAAACCACCTGGCCAATGGACTAGAATGAGCAACTGAGGCTGGCAATTATATCCCATCTTTAGAAATGTGTGTATGAGGGTGGATGGTTTTAGTAGCTAGGGACAGTAAGGCTGTGTCTACACTGCACCCCTTTTCCGGAAAAGGGATGCAGATGAGACAAGTCGGAATTGCAAATGAAGCGGGGGATTTAAATATCCCCCCCTTCATTTGTATAAACATGACTGCTGCTTTTTTCCGGCTCGGAGCTTTGCCGGAGAAAAGCGCCAGTCTAGACGGGATCTTTCGGAAAATAAAATCAGGAATAAGGGATCTTCCAGAAAAGCCCCGAGTGCAATGGAAAGCCTGGAGAGAATGGAGCTAGTAAATAGTTCCAATCCATATTGGGCCACTGACTGAAAGCTGTTACCTGTTAAGTTGCTTGGCTTAGGTGGAATGAGTCCTATACTTAGGATCCTTCATTACAAAACCACATGTTTAACTGGCACCATTTGGTACCCTCATAGCTAGTTTTAGCAGAGGAGGCTAAGGATTGTACGAGTATGGACTCTGAATTAGCCTATCCCCTACAGGTGACTGTCCGCAGATAATGGCTGAGGCACATGGGCAGGTAAGCTGGGATTAATGCTGTCCATGGAGATGGCGGAATCCACAGCTAGCAACCTGAGTCCTGTGACACACACTTAACTCTCTCCAATATACTCACATTCATTGGGGTATTTTTCCAATAAGAATGGAAGGAACACTTACCAACTAGAGTCTCCTTACTCTCCTTCCCAGGGGAGTCTCTCCCAGAATCCATCTCATTATAGAGAAATCCTTGTTACCTCACAGGCCGGAATAAAGATACCCCCTCAAATGGAAAAAGCAGTGTGGCAGCAGAACAAGCTTTCACCTGTGACAGTGTCCCCACGGGATTAGTTACCCAGGTGAGGGAGGAATGTTTACAATAACAAAGTCTGATGGGCCGTTCCTCTCTGGAGTAACTCCCCTGGTTTCAATGACTGCACTCCAGGCTGACTGTGGCCCAGCACATTTTGTTGGTGCAGAATTGTCTCCGGGAATGATTGCCACACACCTCAGCAATGAATAGCACAATTTTACAGCCATGTCAGTCTACAAAGCTGAACTGTAAACTTTCTAGGACAAGGATTCTTTCTTAATCTGCACCTTTACTGTATCCAGTGTAACATGGCCCCAATTTTGTTTAGGTGCAATACAAATAATAATGTAAGGATGTAAGTGAACATCCAAGGAGCATAGTGAGTGAATCCTCCTTCTCCTCTTCTAGGCGTATAAGTGACACCTTAACAATTAATTATTATTAACAATAATAATGCTAATAATAATAATAATAAACAACTTTTATAGTGTACTAAGACCTAGAGGCTAAACAAGTTGAAGTCTTATTGTGCTGGACACTGTATAAACATATGGAAACCTGTTCAGTCTTTAATTCCTTCCATTGCCCGGGAATTATATGCTTCAGAGAGTATTTTGCTACACTTCCTGAAACTCTTTGATTTAGAGCTAATATGAAAGTGGCTGTAATTAGAGTGAAAATAAGACAAAACCATTTGAGAAAAGTAGGAGTGTAAGCCGATGTCAGCCCCTTCTATAGGCACAGGATAAAATGTCATTGCATGTTTTTTTCACTCTCTCATTTAGTGCATTAAATGTATTTTATTATTCATCTTCTGCATCACAATTTAATTCTCCATCTATATCCATTACTTCCTTATTGTTGCCATTACATTGAATTACATTTGCATAATGCTTGTTACAGCCCAGGCTGTGTTCTCTCCATGAATGGGCACCAGGCTGCTATATTACACCCACCCACTGGATGCAGTGGACTTCCAAGCTCACTGGGTTTGCACAGCATGCAAGCACCATCTCTGGATCTGGGCTCTCAGGCACACTTCAGAGGAGCAGACTCACTGTTGGACACACTGTCCTTCCGGGATGGGATCCCACAGTCCAGCTGCCTTGGCCCCCAACCAATACCGACACTCCAAGTCTCCACCTCTGTTTATACGTGCAGCCCTCAGAACTCACTTTGTGGGCATTGTAGGGGTGAGTTCAACTCTTTGAGAATGTGTGACAGATAAAGCTTTGCCTACATTGTTAGCTTCATGGGGCAGGGCCTGTCTCTCACATATATTTGTACAGTGCCCGGCACAATATGGCCTTGGCCCATGAGAGGCTCTCCTAAGCACTATGGTATCACTCATAATAATATTCCTAGACAGCACAGAGGGTATCAAAAATAACAGCTATACCCTGCTCCTCAGTCTATGCTCACCCCTTCTGTGAATGCTTTGGCCCAGTCCGTGTGAGAGGCAGGTAGCACCCTCTACCTCCTGCAGTCCATGAGTTTGCTGGCAATTACACAGCTGGTGTATGAGGGGAAAAAGCGCATCTGGGGCAGAGCCTAATCGTAAATAAAGGTCCAGCTCCCCTTTGTCAGTTGAGTCACTGTGATGGAGGGAAGGGTTACTACCCTTTTCTGGACATCCCAGCAGTTAGTTCACTAAATTTCCCATAAGGCAGAGGTAGGCAAAAGCCTCTCAATCGGCCGAATCCGGCCCGTCTTGGGCTTTGATTTGGCCCGTGAGGCACTTACAGGCAATTTTTCAGCAGCACGGAGGAGGGAGCTCAGTCCCACTCCTCCCCTGCGCAGCTGCTGAAGAGTGCTCCCACCTCCTTGTAGCAGGCTAGGCTGTGGTGGGAGGAGGCAGCGCTGGGGCTGAGGCTTCTCAAAAGGGCCGGGCCAAGAGGCACTGCTACCGCAGCCACGTGGCCTAGGGCCAGCCCCTGAGGTGCTGCTTCTTTCGCCACATGGTCTGGGGCTAGCTCCAGGGGCTGGGGGTGGCCCCAGTCTGCATGGCCACAGTAGCAGCGCCTTTGGGGCCATCACGTGGCCACGGCAGCAGTGCCTCTGGGGCTGGCCCCAGGCTGCGGCGCCTCTGGCGTCTGGAGCAGCATGGGGCCGCATGACTGCAGTGCCTTCAGGACCAGCCCCAAGCTATGTGGCTGAAGCAGCAGCACCTCTGGGGCAGCCTGTGGCTGTAGCCCCAAGCTGCGTAGCCATGGCAGAGGCGCCTCCAGGCTCCAAGGCGGCTTGTGGTCACGGTGCTTTGGGGCCAGCCACATGTCTGTGGCAGTGGCACCTCTGGCCTCCGGGGAGGCCTGTGGCTGCGGTGCTTTGGGGCCAGGACCGGCGGGGCAGCCAGGACAGCATGGCTGTGGCCAATGCTGCAAGGGAGCATGAAGCCAGGTAAAGCTCCCCATCATGCCCAGACTCCCCACCCCAATCCTGTCACTTCCCCCCCCCCCACAAGACCCAGCACCCCCAGCTTGCTCTGACACCCTCCCTTGTTCTTATGCCCCCTCTTCTGTCCACACACTGCACCCTCCCTTGTTCCTGCTCCCTCCACCTGGCCAGACACCCTACTCCCAGCCTGCTTCTGCACCCCAGCTCCCCCCCAGATCCTGCACCCCATCCCTATCCTACTTGCTGGCAGCCCTGTCTCATTCACTGTACCCCTCATTTTTGTCCCTACCCCAGAGCCTATGGAGGTCCATAAAAGCCACTAACTCCAGAACCGCAGAAAAGTTAATCTGGTCTATGGGAAACTCTGAACTTTAATTTCCCCCTTTCCTTCCCCTCACCCCATGAGGGTGGGGCACCAAACGAGTGAGGTGTCTCAGGTGGGGCCACATCAGTGAGGGCTGAGGGTTTTTGGAGGAGTTTTTTTTTCTTCTCTCTTGTGTGGTCCCCAACTGATTTTTTGTGGGCCAGTGTTTCTAGATCCAAAAAGGATTCCCCACCTTTCCATAAATAAAGAAAACATGGAAACCTTTTGTGTTGGACATAATATTTTACTTTATTTAAAAACACTTAATTTGTTTCATAATTTAAATTAAACTGTTCTTACTAGCGGCAGCTGGTTCAGCAAATAAGGTCACTGTACCTAGCAGGGTAGTTCTCAACCCCACCCCCCCCATGGCCACTTCCAAAATTTGTGAAGTGGCTCCCCCTTCCAAAATTATTGCTCACCCCTGGTCTAGATCTAGATCTCAGTCCCCAGAAAAATCATGGAGGGGATCCTGTAGGTCCTAAAGAGTCTCCAATTTGTGTTGATAGGGAGCCAGGAGCGCCAATGAAAAAAGTGTGTGAGTTTTGAATTAAAAAGCAGGACCTTCCTGCTGCAGTGTTTGTGTGACCAGCGCCAGATTGGGAGGCATGAGTTAAGCCAGGAAAAAGGCATGGAATTTCCAGTGATATTCATGCCTAAGGAAGGACTAAACCTTGGAACAACAGATACATGAGTACAACCAGAAATGTTTAGTTAGGTGTGATCAGGTTATTTTCTTCATTTCTGAGCTTGTTGGACTCCTCTGTACTGCGCCATGTTTCTTCCCCCATACACTGTAACTTTTTAACTGAATCCCAGGGAAGCAATTCTCTGTTTTTAATCTTGCCTTTTTCAGTTGCTCTGTAACACCTAGCAACCAAATAGTGCTTTACCATGTGTGTCTTTGTTTTAATGACCGTTTTAAGATTATGATCTGGTTCCTGTGGCCTAGAAGGCAGGAGGTTCTGTGTGCACCTGCCTAAAACTGCCAGGTTGGCTATTCAAAATTACAGTTTGTTTTCAAGCTTTCTCCTGAGGGAGGGTTAAAGAGCTTGAGAGCACCCCACAAGAAGAAATTACCAAGTGCTTCTTCCTGGGCTTTCAAAGGGCTTTTTGCTGTTGGGTAGTGGCAGTGTACCACCCAATGTCAGGGAGTCTGTGACCGTAGGAAGTTTTTAAGCAAAAGCCTTTAGCAGATGTGTATTTTAAAGTCTCTTGCTAGCCCCCACCCTCTGTGCTTGAAGAAGCAGAGTGAGGAATAGCCTGGACAGTCACTTTCTTCATAGCCCTAGATGGGGGTATCACAACCATGGCAAAAGTGCCCCCTCCTGGACGCTCACCAGGCTGTGAGTTTGGACCCATAAACTGGGACCCCATGTGCTTTTAAGCTCCTTTTGGTTCCCAAATAGGCACTAGTTAGGCTCTGGCTCCAGCCTTTCCGGCACATTTCCTGTGCACAGATTCTTTATCTGGTACTCATTCTGAAAGGACTAACAGGCTGCGTCTAGACCGGCATGATTTTGCGGAAATACTTTTAACAGAAAAGTTTTTCCGTTAAAGTATTTCTGCAAAAGAGTGTCTAGATTGGCACGGATGCTTTTGCGCAAAAGCATCCGTGCCAATCTAGACACTCTTTTGCAGAAATACTTTAACGGAAAAACTTTTCTGTTAAAAGTATTTCCGCAAAATCATGCCGGTCTAGACGCAGCCTGTTAGTCCTTTCAGAATGAGTACCAGATAAAGAATCTGTGCACAGGAAATGTGCCGGAAAGGCTGGAGCCAGAGCCTAACTAGTGCCTATTTGGGAACCAAAAGGAGCTTAAAAGCACATGGGGTCCCAGTTTATGGGTCCAAACTCACAGCCTGGTGAGCGTCCAGGAGGGGGCACTTTTGCCATGGTTGTGATACCCCCATCTAGGGCTATGAAGAAAGTGACTGTCCAGGCTGTTCAGCTCTTCTGGGTCAAATGATGGGTGAAGCAAACAGACACAGACTTTGCAGAAAAATGTATAAAACTAGTCACTCGGCATCCTGAATCCTCAGTGCTTGAATGTTCTTTGGATTCAGTTCAGTGTGACTTCAGGGCTCTGGTCCTCTTTGCTGGACTTCACTCTTCCAGCACAGGCCTTCTCCTCCACAGCAGGGAGACTTGACTCCTTGCAATCAGTGTTCAAAAAGTTTTCTTTGTTCAGGGCTCTTTCCTCTCTAAGTTTCCAAGAGTGACTTCTCAGCCATTAGCCTTAGCTAAAGAAT